TATATATATGTATACTATATATATATATATATATATATACACACACACACACACACGCACACACACACACACACACATACACACACACACACACACATATATATATATACGCATACGCATACGTATACGTATACGTCTCATCAGTTTCTTGCGCTGTCAAAAAGACACTATGCCATGCTCATACCATCTGTGCCTCTCCCTGTCCCCTGCCAGACGACCTATGTGGGTCTGTGGGTGTTGGCTGGATTTATGAGCTTTTTCCTGATAGAGAAGATCATGCGCAATGGAAGCAACGGCGGTCATGAACACTCACACGCAACCCCTGCAGCTATCTTCCAGGAGAAGCCTGCCTTAGTCACCGTTGTAGAGGAGGATGAGTCCGAGCGAGAAGGTATACATTAGTACTACACACGTATTAGGGTGTGTATGTTGTGTCTGTGTGCGTGTATGTATGTATAGGTCTGTGTGCGTGTGTGTATGTATAGGTCTGTGTGCGTGTGTATATGTTGGGTCTGTGTGCGTGTGTATGTTGTGTATGTATGTGTGTGTGTATGTTGTGTCTGTGTGCGTGTGTGTTAATGTGTCTGTATGCGGGTGTGTATGTTGTGTCTGTGTGTATGTTGTGTCTGTGTGTATGTTGTGTCTGTGTGCGTGTGTGTATGTTGTGTCTGTGTGCGTGTGTGTATGTTGTGTCTGTGTGCGTGTGCGTGTGCGTGTGTGTTTGATGTGTATGTGTGCGTGTGTGTGTGTTATGTCTGTGTGCGTGTGTGTATGTTGTGTCTGTGTGCGTGTGTGTATGTTGTGTCTGTGTCGTGTGTGTATGTTGTGTCTGTGTGCGTGTGTACATGTTGTGTCTGTGTGCGTTTGTAGAATGTACTGATATAGAGAGGCACAACGGGTGCTTGCACGGAACGCTGCGTCTATTTTGCGGGAGAAGCCTGTGATAGACCTAATATAGAGGGGGACTAGTCTGAGCGAGAAGGCGTATAAGTGTACATGTATGTTTTAATGGATGTATATGTACATGTCTGTATGTGCGTGTGTGAGTGTGAGTGTGTGCGTATGCGTACATATACGTAGAATGTAGTCATATACAGAGGAAGCAGTCGTGGTCACGGGCACTCGCACGCAGCCCCTACGGCTATCTTCCAGAAGTGTACACGCATGCTATTTGTAGATGTATATGCATATGTATATGCTTTTAGAATTTTGTTTTTGATGTGTATGTGTATGCGTATATATATATATAATAAATATGTGTTGTGTATGTGTTATATGTTATTTTTTTTGGTTTATATTTATTTACATGTGTATGTAAATGTATATATCG